GTTTGTGGTGTTTTGTTGTGTGTACTGCAGTGTGGTGCAGGCGATTCACAGCTCTGGCCCGCCTACACTGGTGTGTGTGTGTGTGTGTGTGTGTGTGTGTGTTGTGTGTGTGTGTGAGGTTGTGTGTGTGTGTGTTGTGTGTGTGTGTGTGTGTGTTGTTGTGCACGCGTGTGCGAGTGTGTGTGCAGGCGCAAGACAGAGAACGCTTGTAGGCAATTTCCAGGAACACTGAGAGAGACAGACAGCCTCGTGTGGACTTCTAAAATCCATCTGCGATGTATCTCGGTGTTTGAATCGAAGGTTATGAAGAAAGTACTCACCAACACTCCAGTGTCTCTTGCCACAGCAGGCAAGAAAATGGGGAGAAAAAGACCAGTCATTTGTTCTACGGTTACGATTTGCTATCGTCCTTTTAGCATTCATGTCAGAGATTACATTTACTTACGGGCATTTGTCAGCCATGAGCTTACCAATCCAAGCCACTCTCGATACTGTTATCATATATCTGGTTCAGTGCTTGCACTTTTCTTCAGTTTTGTTTAATAATAATAATAACCTATTTCTACAAGTATATGATAAAACTTAAAACAGACCGTAGCTGACATCAATGACATACTATATAGAAAGTCCCTGGTTATGCAGAGCATTTCGGGTAACTTAGGTTAATTTTGTACCCAGGATGTGACCCATGCCATTCAGCTAACACCCAGGTACCTACTTACTGCTAGGTGAACAGGGACAGTAGATGTTTCAAGGAAACACGTCCAAAATTTTCACCCTTACCGGGGATCGAACCACAGACGCTCAGTGTGTGAGCTGAGTGTACTGCCAATTGAGCTACTGGATACAATGTATATAACTGTAGCTACCTACGTTGTTGTCACATATATATGGGAACTCGCTCCTGAATCTGGTCACGCAAACACCTCTCCTTTCCACTCACCTACCCGGGTTGGAACCATATCAGCGAACCACATAGAATTAGAACATCTGCTTTCAAAACCCCTCTGTTTGCTGTTATTTATGCAGGTATAAAGGTTGTCTCCTGTACCATGTAATATTATTTATTCAGTGATCTTCAATGGATAACCTTGCTGTAAGCCGTATGGAAATTCAGATATTCTATTTATAATCGGAAAAATCTTGTACGTCAGTCAGGCGAGATTATCTGTTGCGAAATCAACGCTGATTTCCGACTGTTGGCTATTATTTTCAAGAAAATTAACGATTTCATCCCTAATAATTTGTTTACCTAAAATTGTAAAGGAGATGGGGCGATAAAGTCTGGGATAAAATTTGCTAGTTTACAGTTTATTTTAGCTTCTTTTATTAGTGGACAAGAGTTTTACTAATTAATCTTTCGTAACCATGGCAGCAGTTTATCAGTGCATCTGATTTGTGAACATTTATCTTCTCCAAGTATTTTAAAGCCACCGCTGCTAATTTCTTCAATACTGTACTTAGTTTGTCAAAGTCAGGCCCTGAAGACAGATTTTTGGACCTGGAGGCGTTAATGTGATGTTCAGTTGTACTTACAGAACCGACAGCCGAGTCTATATGCCAAAAGTCTGCTGTTCGTTATTCTCTTGTTTTTCTACCGTTGTTTTTTTTCCATCTGACATATCTGAAAAACTCTTTTAAGTTACCTTTGACATTTTATGCTATTTTCTTATTATATACCATTTCTGATCTTTATTTTACATTCTTCCTGTAATTGCATATAATTAACATGGTTTTCCAGGGTGACAGTCAATAAAAATTTCTTACATATTTTACTTATCTTACATATCTTTTTTTTCCCTTTAGTCTCGACTTGTGTGCTCATCATCTGTCCTGGCCATAATTAATCTTTTTCCCGTTATGTCTTTCTTGGTATGTTATCTCTCTCGACATTTAGAATTTGCTTAAAATTTGCTCCACATTTCCCCTCATCATTATATTTAGTAGTTCTCATCAGTTTACGTTACTGGAATCGCGGTGCATTATCCCCAAGTTACTTTCTCAGTAATGTTATTTAGTATGTCATAATTTGCGTTGATTCTGAATCGAACGATGTGACAACTGTTTCCTTCACCCTTTCCTACTTTGATCAAATTGTGTGGTCAGAAAAAAATAACTTTCTGACAGCTCGTGTCAGAAAGTTATTCTCCGTCATGTTGTGATAATTTTATTATGAAAAGTGTATAATTCCCACAATTTTTGCATATTTAAAAGTAATTTAGCTTTTCTAAGATGTTATAAAAACAAAAATACAATACAGCAATTTATGAAATTATATTAAAAGTGATATTCTCAATTTAAATACATGTATAATAATGTGTGTCATCAGTATAAAAATACATCATAACAACCTTCTAATGCATTTCTAGGAGTTGTTTTCATGCAACATTGAAATTGTTGACAATAAAGTAAATAAAATGGATAACAATTATGCACTGCTGAATCTGTTGGTCTAATAAATACACATTACAACTTGTAAAGTAAGCACTTATACCTGGACAAAAATACTATCTGAAGAACACTTTGTACTTTTGTTGCTCTTTAAATAATAAAATGGGCATATTTAAAAACAGTGGCAGGGCATTAATCTTTACTCTGAAAGTTTAACCAATTTTTCCATTTAGTAAAAATTTTATTTTATTTAAATAAAATAGTCATCCCACTTCAAGATATCTTAGACAAACTAGTAATAGTTTTGCTAATTTTTCTTCATATTATGTAGATACACTAACTCATACAGCAAATACCTTTAAAGAGTAAGTCACAATACTGGAGCTGGAACAATTTAAACCCACAATTCTGCAAAGAAACTTTAGGCAACATTTTGGTCTATCCTGGACCATTAGGTCATGTCTTGATAATGGTCTACAACAAACTAAAACATCAAGTTTCCATCAAATTATGCATCTACAAGAGGGAACTGGACAGCCACCTAAAGTCAGTAGCTGACAGCCAGGCTGATTCCTACATTGGATTGCATGCAACCAGCAGCAACAGCCTGGTTGATCAGGCCCAGATCCACCAAGAGGCCTGATCATGGACTAGGTCGCAGAGGCGTTGACCCTTGGAACATCTCCCAGGTACTGTAAATGTTTTTGCTTTACAGTGACTCCTAAACACAAACATGTCTCTCTTCCTTGCATACAAGTACTGTGTTTTTTTTTCACTGAAATAACATGTATCAAACAAATTAAAAAACTATAACAATAAACAAAGTATTGTGTGTTTCAATAGTCCATGCATGTAATTCTATGTAATTTGCCAAAACAAATTTCTTTAACCCTTTGACTGTTTTGGCCATATATATGTGTCTTGCGAGTCAGTGTTTCGGTCGTATATATACTCAATAATTCTAGCGGTTTCAAATCAAGCAGGAGAAAGCTGGTAGGCCCACATGTGAGAGAATGGGTCTGTGTGCTCATTGTACACTGTATAAAAAAAATCCTGCAGCATGTAGTGCATGATGAGAAAAAGAAACTCAGACCGTGTTTTTGGATTAAAACACCGAATTTGAGGTGTATTTTCGTATAGTATTTATGGGTGTATTCTCGTTTTCTTGGTCTCATTTGATAGAATGGAAAACATATTACAGAAATAGAGATGATTTTGATTAGTTTCACGATGAAAACGACCTTGAAATTGAGCTCAAATTAGCAGAAATGTTTGATTTTTACCAATGTTCGAGAGTAAGCAAATCACACCATACGCCCAATACACGTCAACTGGGGAATCTAATATTTTCACTAGTGCACTGATGTTATTTATACCATTATTACAATAATGCGGTAGTCTGCATAACAGTAAATCTTCTATTTTTTGTGTGAATAAAAAAGCAAAATAGAAAACAAAGAGTAACAAAAGAGGGGCCTAGAAACGTGACTAATGAACAGAAGATATGTTATTTTAGTGCCAAGAATGTCTGCATTGTTTATTCTGGACCCTATTTTGAAACTGGCATCTTTTTTAATTTGTATGAAATTGGCCAAATTGCCAATTTCTGACCACTTTATTGGGTTGTTGAAATCGGTAAATGGGCGGTTTCTTGTGCTCAATTGATGGAAAAATGGAGTTCTAAAGAAATAGCTATGAGTTTGGTTGACTAGAACAATGGAATTGGCCAAAAATAGGGCTCAAAATCAGCGAAATCGCCAATGCGTATATATCGTCGAGATCGCTAACTTCGCGGGAGCATAATTCCATAAGTTTTCGATCAAATTTTGTACTTTTGGTGTCATTACCATCGGGAAAAGATTCTCTATCATTTCATAAGAAAAAATAATTTTTTTTTTTCAAAAAAATTTTCGACATGAAATGACAATTTCAGAAAGGGGCCTGCGACAGTCAAAGGGTTAATTATCAGTTATTATATTACTGCTGTCTTACCAATTACACTATGTATCCTGTCTTTCTTCAATCCTGCCCCTAAATTGGACTATCTCTTACATTTATGACATTATTTACATTATTTTTCATGCTACTGTATCATGATTTGCTTCCTACCTATCCAATTACATGTATTAATTTTTGACTTGTTCATAATTAAATATTAAACCAATTTCATTTGCTTGTAACTTGTGACTAGAACTTATTTATGTACAGTACAATTTTATTTTACTTGTCAATACTTTGTACTAAGAACATAAGGTAAGATAGAACCACACCTATTTTTTTTTTTTTTAGTAAGTAGTTAAAGTTTTTTAACAAAAATTTTAACACCTGTATTTTTTTTTAATAAATTATCCTTATCCTTCTGTTTTTTCTTTCTTATTCCTCTTCCTCTTCCTACTTTTTCTTCTTCTTATTATTATTATTATTATTATTTTTTCTTCAACGCACCAGCCACATCCCACTGAGACAGGATGACCCAAAAAGAAAAAGTTTCCTTTTATATTTAGTAATTTATACAGAGGGGGTTACTAGCCCCTTGCTCCAGGCATTTTAATTGTCTCCTATGACATGCATTATTATTATTACTCAGGTTTGAGCTTCAAGGTCACCCAAGCAAGATGTCCCAATGAAGAACCTGTTTAACATGTTTTCTATACACCAATAAGGCAAAATCTTCTTAGGTATCATTGTTAATTGTTCATGACCAACCAATAATTTGAAGGAAACTTGAATGGCATTTTATGTGATTTTTTGTAATGAGGTGTTCAATGTGCCTTCTGAATGAAGACCATAGTAAATTTATTTACCCTACATCAGTTTTTAAGTGTACCTTATAAGAAGGTCTTATAAGAACAAGACCTTGTAAGAACAAGACCTTGTCAGAACAGGACCTTGTAAGAACAAGGTCTTGTAAGAACAAGACCTTGTCAGAACAGGACCTTGTAAGAACAAGGTCTTGTAAGAACAAGGTCTTGTAAGAACAAGGTCTTGTAAGAACAAGGTCTTGTTAGAAAAAGGTTTTGTTAGAGCAAGGTCTTGTAAGAACAAGGCCTTGTCAGAACAAGGCCTTGTAAAACATACGTAACAATCTTTACAATATTTACAGTGGTTAGGATGCCTAAATATTCTTTACATAAGTTTCTTTTTTTCATAATTCTGTACTCTTTACTTCATTCAGAATTATATCATCCTCTGATTTTATTTCCTCATTTACTGCAACTATCTGGTCAGATTGGCATGCACAAGAAAGTATATCACTAGTTCCCTCACATCTGCTATTTTCAGCATTCACTGCATCTGACAATAAAATATCTTTTTCTGTGGATTTTGTTTCATTATTATGTTTTCTTTTAATTATTTCAGATGTCTGCAAAAATGGCTGTGTAAGCTGATTGTTTTCAGAAACACTCACTGTATCATGTCTGGAAAATCCTTTGCACCACATTCCAATGTGATGCTTAAGCTTAGAGAATCGTGTGAATGTTTTCCCACAAGCTGTACACAAATATGATTCTTGTGATACTTCATGTTGGTCAACGTCGCATTTCTTTGAGTCTGTATTTAACCTTTCACCAGGTAGTACACCTGAGGCTCCCAATCTCTTTCTTCCTGATGCTCCTAAAGTTTCAGTATTGCTCTCAATATTGTTTTCTTTGACTACCTTTAGTTTTACTTGACTCACAGCTTTTTTTACATTCTTCACTGCACTTCCTCTTCTAGGGTTCTCTACTTTTTCTTTAATGTGTCCTTTTTCCATTCCTGCTTTACCATTTACACATTCTTGTTTAACATTCACTTCAACTCCCTTAGTTTGTTTTCCCTTATTTTCATCATAAGACCCTCTTTCTTCTTCTTTTAAGGGAATTGGAACAATAACATCCTTAATTAACTGATTTTCCTTGATGTGTTCTTGATCAACATAATTATACTCTTTACAGCTCAGGTCTTCTCTCCTGTGCTTCAGTCTCTGATGGGACTGTAGAGCAGAAGCCCTTCTGAACACTACTCCACAATCCTCACAAATCTGTAGCACATTTCCATGCTCCTGCATGTGTATTTTATACTTGGCAAAGTTTTCAAATGTCATATCACATTTATTGCAAGTAAATGCCTTATCAATAGACACTTGACTGGACTGTGCTGTCTTGATTGTCATATTCCAGTCATTATTAGTGACACTCATTTTCCTTCTCTTAAAGTTACACTCACTCTCACTTTCCTCACCAAGCAAAATGTCTAGATCACTAATGTCTGTGCTTTTCTCATTATTGTCTATAAGCCTCAGTTCTTTTGTGTGTTTAGCTAACTGGATATATGTTCTAAAACTGGTTCCACATGCAGACTGATACTTTTTGGCAGATTTGGTGTGAATATTGTTTTCCCTTTCCATGCACTTTTTCATGTGAGTACTACATTTAAATGACTGGGTGAAACATGCTCCACAGTGCTTACACACAAAAGGCTTTTCCCCTGTATGGCGAAGCTCATGAGAATTTAAGTGAGCTTTCTGTCTAAAAGCTTCCGTACAGTAACTGCACTTGTAGGGCCGTTCTCCAGTGTGACAGCGCAGGTGAGACCTGAAGTACTTTAATTTGTATGATCTTTTACATATATCACAGATTTTTGTCTTTGTTTCAGAATTTGAATTGCTGTCTTCATTTAACTTTCTTTTTCTATACGGTCTTAAATTAATTTTTCCATTTGGCAATGAGTGCTGGGAATCATCTGACTGACTGTCAGATTTAATAAGAGTCAAGCTCTTACATTCACTTGATAATGGCTCAATCGTTCTTATAACTACAGCATTATCATTGTGCAAATTTTTTATATGACGTGTCACTGCAGACCTCTGGGAAAAGCACGAGCCACACTCTCCACATTTATAAGGCTTGAAGCCTGTGTGCCTACCCATGTGATCTTTTAGATGTGTAATTTGTTTAAATGCATGATGGCAATAATTGCATTTATATGGCCTTTCACCAGTATGCATTCTCATGTGGCTATGAAGATTTGAGGACTGCAAGAATGGTTTATCACAAACATTACATGCCCAAATTTTCCTTCCAATTTTATCAATGTAAGTAGGATGAGTCTTTATTTTACTAAACTCCTCTTTTATAGGCTGTGTTGAATGTAGTGCAAGAGATTCAGAGTCTAATATTGCTGATGGGTCATTCTTAGTCTCGACACCAGACACATTACCTTCATTTAAATGACCCTCTCCTTCCTTTACCATGTCTGTAGTTTCTGTTACCTCATGTTTTACAGGTGTTTCTCCAATATCTGTTGCTGATACAACCTCAGATTTTACACAGACATCTTCATCCATGATATCAGTAACTTCTTCTTTCACTTGACTATAATTTGCATTGGTTTCACTTATAATTTCTTCCCGCACTTTTGCACCATCACTAGCTTCATTTTTATTATTATTAATGGATGGATTGCTAATTAGTTCCTTTTCATCTCCTGTTTTGATACTGCTACAAACTTCTGATGTGCCACTCTCTGTTAAGGCCTCTTCATGGTCCACACTCCGATGATTTTGCAAAGAAGAAAGTTGAAAGAAGCTAGACCCACAAATTTCACAGATATATTTATGATCAGCATGTTTAAGATTATGCTTCATCATGCTGCTCTTTCTTGTATAACAAAGGCCACACATTTTACACTCATACGGTTGTGATGATAAATGTTTTTTCATGTGGTCTTTCTTGAAACATTCATTAATGAAAGTCTTTTTGCAGAATTTACAATAAAAATTCCTTACCTTGAAATCACCCAATGGTTTCTCTTCTTTCTTTACAAGAATTTTATTCTGTGCATGCTTAGATTTTTTATGAGAATTTAATCTTGAAGACTGGGTAAAAGTTGCATGGCAGATATTACAAATATAAGGCCTTTCTCCTGTATGAATCCTTATATGAGATCGCAGATGTGCGACCTGCTTGAACCCCATACCACATAAATCACAAAAATAAGGCCTCTCTCCAGAATGTGTTCGCATGTGAGAAATAAAATTTGAAGATGTTTTACAAACTTTTCCACACTGTTGACAGTCATAAACTTTCCGGGTCTTAGGCTTTTTTTCTTTACATTTTTTCTCTCTTATTTTTGGCTTAACAGACATTGGTCTCCTAAAATCAGATTTCTGCTTTCTGAGATTTGTATCATCAGTATGGTATTCATTTTCTTTGAATTTTTTTTTGTGTTTTGATTTATTTATAGAGCTCCTCAAATCTTTGCAAAACTTTGTATCCCGAGTATATATCTTTATGGGATTGTTAGTTCCTTCCTCTATCACATATGTTATCTCTCTTATGTACTCTGGTTCTTCCTTACACACCACAAGACTCGTACCATCTGGGTGAATCTCCTCTTGTACAACTTCTGAATATCTAGGTACATAGTAGGTCAGTTTTGCAGGATAGCTGACAGTTGCATCATGATTCTGATAGAAATCATGAATTTCCTCTTGCACCTGTATGGAATAACTGTCAGCTACTGTATGTGCTTCTTCTAATACTCCCGGATAATCACAGATATCATTTTCAATAAGTTCATGAACTACATTTGGATAGGCATCATTAAAACTGTTATGATCATCATCTGATAACACTTTTATAGAATCACATTCTACAGAGGTCTCATTGTCAGGTCCCTGGATATCCAGTGCAACATCAGCTGCAGACTGTGCCACTGTCATAATGCTACTACTGGCATGTGCTGGGTCAGATATATATGTAATTTCTTTATTCTTTAGAGACGGTGGTAAAACTATGTAAAATTCTTTACCATCCTGGCCTTGAGTTTCCAAGACTGTTCCACTCTCCAGTGCTGCACGCACTTGGTCAGGATGCAAGACATTCCCAACATTTGGTACATTTTCTTCAGATATATTACATGCTAAATTTTCCTTTAATTTATTTTGAGATCTATCGTCTTCAGAGATGTGTATAACATTATTATTAATAATTAAGTTATTACCAAGCACTGAGGATGAATGTGAATCAGTAGCTTCTCCTATACTTGCCTGGTTACACTCAGTATTTATTAATGGCATCGGAACTTCAGATGAAACTAGTGCACTGCTTATTTGTTCTGTAACCTTTGCATTTTCTTGTGAGTTAAAAGTAGAATTTGATATATTTTCTGCTTCATGCCCTATAATTGGCATAATCTCTGAAACTGGAATATTTTCTTTTTTTATAACTGTTTCTCTAGATGCATTTGATGGTGTTGATTTTAAAGGTTCGTGTGGTTCCTTCTTAACCACATACAGATAATCCTTCTTGCTGACATGAATTTTCCGATGCAGAGATAAGCCAGCCAGTCGAGGAAACGCCTTCCCACACTCCTCACATGTGAACGGTCCTAAATTTATGTGGACTCCTTTATGTTTCTGCAAGGTAACCTTTTCCCGAAAGCATACACCACATTCCTCACACTTGTATCGCCTCTCTCCAGTATGTATCATTCTGTGGAACTTTAGTCGTGTTGAATTTGAGAATGTTCTGCCACATTTGTCACACTGATATGGTTTTTCACCAGTATGGGTTCTCATGTGCATTTTTAGATGCATCTTCTCATATGTAGAATGATCACACATGGTGCAAGAATAAAGCTTCTTTCCAGAATGTTTTTTTCTATGTAAATTTAGAGAGGACTTCTGGACAAACCTAGAACCACATTCTTCACACTCAAAGGGACGTTCGCCTGTGTGTGTTCGTTGATGGTCAGTTAAATGGTGCCTCTGTCTGAATGCCTTTTGGCATACATCACATTTAAAAGGTTTTTCCCCTGAATGTGTTAACACATGCTTTTTGAAGTTAGCCGATGACTGTGATATCAAATTACATTTTTCACATGGATACACTTTTTCTCCTGCTTTTCTCATTTTCACCTTGGCTCCATCACCTGGCACTTCATCTTTAATATCCTCAGAAAATATTTCGTAATCAGAAATTATTATATTTGCTTCACTGGGATCATCTTCAGCCTCTTCTTTTATCTTACTTTCATATACGGAGTCTGATGATGCCTGAATATTTTGTAAAATTTTTGATTCACTATCAACAAAAGAATTCTTTGATAATACATGCCTCTTTCTGCTAGGTCTCTTCACACTGATCATGACCGCCATAGGATCTGCCTCTTCCATTACTACAAGTCTTGATCTGAGACTCAATTAATCTGCATATTTCACTAAAATAAGGACCTCAATATAAAGTTGTTTTCTTGAAGACTTTCAATCCTTCTCATGCCAAAGGAGCACCTGAAAAATATACTACATTAACATTTCACACATATGTATAAATTATTAAATATAATAATAAGAAAAACTTTTGTGTCTTCTTTTTTGGGTCACTCTGCCTTGGTGGGAGATGGCTGGTGTGTTAAAACAGAACAAAAAGAAAAAAATTCCTCATAATAAGAATCTTCAATATGCTTTGCAAATCACACCATTCACACATATTGAGTGTACATTAACCCCTTGACTGTCGCAACCCCCAATCCTGAGGTGTCTCCTGGTGTCACAAAATTTCCCCCCCCAAAAAATTATTTTTCTTATGAAATGATAGAGAATCTTTTCCTGATTGTAATGACACCGAAAGAATGAAATTTGATGGAAAACTGATGGAATTACGCTCTCGTGAAGTTAGCAACCGCAGCAATATTTACAAATCAGCGATTTCACCCACTTTGAGCCCTATTTTCAGCTAATTCCATTGTGCCAGTCAACCAAACTCACAGCTATTTCATTAGAACTCCATTTTTTCTATCGATTGTTTACAAGACACTGTCCATTTACCAATTTCAACTACCCAATAACGTGGTCAGAAATTTGCAATTTGGCTAATTTCACGAAAATAAAAAAATATGAAAATTTCAAAAGAAGGTCCAGAATGAACAATGTAGACATTCCTGGCTCTAAAATAACATTTTCTTTGTTCATCAGTCACATCTCCAGGCCCCTCTGATATTACTCTGATATTTATTCAAACAAAAAATAGAAGATTTACTATTATGCAGACTACTGCAATATTGTAATAATTGTACAAATAATTTCAACCCATTCATGACTGCATATTAGAATTGCTACTTGGACATTTATTGGAAAATGACATCATTTGTTTACTTTTGAACATCGGCAAAAATCGAACATTTCCCCTACTTTGAACTCCATTTCAAGGTTCTTTTCATAGTAAAACCAATCAAAATGACATCTATTTCTATAATATGGTTCTATTCTATCAAATGTGACCAAGAAAACAAGAATACAACCATAAATACTATACAAAAGTAGACCACAAAGTCGGCATTTTAATTAAAAAAAAACGGTCGGAGTTTTTTTTTCTCATTACGCACTGCGTGCTGCAGGATTTTTTTATATGGTGCACACTGGCCACACAGACCCATTCTCTCACATGTTGGCCTACCAGCTTTCTCCTGCTTGATTTGAAGCTGCTAGAATTTACGAGTATATACACGTCAAACACGGTGGCTCGTAAGATGTATATATACGACCGAAACAGTCAAAGGGTTAAATGTATATTGTACATATGGAATTGCTGATAGAAAAGGCTCATCACATACAGTGAACCCACATAAAGGAAGGGAAACCTGTATATATTTTAAACCAGTAGTTTCCAACCTTTGAGTATGAAAGGGCCAATTTGATAAGCCAAATTTAAAGGAGGGGCTGCAGATGCTAGTTATATCCACATAAATCATGTACAGCAGAAGTGAAAAGTGGATATTAGAGGTGACAATAGGTTTTGGTGTAAAATGGCTTTAAATATTTGTAGTTGTTGACATTGTGCAGTGTGGAACCTATATAAAAGTGAATTCATAATTTCATATAAAGGCTGCATCCATTTCCTGAGGGCCACATGCAGCCCTCAGGCTGCAGGTTGTGGACCCCTGGTTTAAACCTTTGGTAACATACTGTACCAATAAATATGCCTTTGATATACCTCTGATGAGTTCTGAGAGCTTTTCCTACTCCGGGAGCCAGGCCATGGACCAGGCTCGCCTGGTGCTTGCCTGATCAACCAGGCTGTTGCTGCAAAATTTGAATAAGTAAAATGAAAAACCACTTTGTAGACAAACTTCATTAACCCAATATCTGATACAGTGTTTTATATTTTTCACACATCACCATTTTCCACCAAGGTAGGGTAACCCAGAGAAGGAAATACATTCACCATTACTCATTTCCTAGCTGTCTTGCCTAATGTGCATGGACATTTCTATTTAAATGATCTGTAGAGTCACATCGCCAGTCTTCAAATTACAGCCAGTGTACTTCCAATCTCCAAAGTTTGGCTAATCAATTTCTCTGAATCCCTTCATAAGTATTACCTTGCTTACACTTGGACAGCATGACAAATACAGAAAAACACTTGTCTCCATTAAAATTTAATATCATCATATACAGCCTATTTTGTTTCATTCTTTTCCATTCTTTCTCAACTCCTCTTTTCTCCTAATCATACTGTACCTTTCACATGATAAGTAAGTTTATTTAGGCATAGGTACACATAAGTATGATTATCATACATAGTGTAAATTACCCTCCAGGATAACTCAAAAAAAATGGTCAGATAAAGTGACATATTTCCATTTGGGATCCTTGTAATATATTATTTAAACCTTAAAAGTTTAAACCTCTACATAATATACACATTACTCTACAACACATTGCCACCACTTCCTACTATCCTCCTCCTCCTCCTCCTCCTCATTGCAACAGTCAATGACAAACCTTTGCTCATATAAATTGTTGCATGAGTATACTCTGAAAACTCTAAAACTGCAGACACATTCATCACCTTCAAAACTACTGTTAGAAAACATCTTATCTCCCTGATACACCCCATCAACTAACTACAAAAAAACCATCTGGTGGTCCACACTTACACACACTCACTCACTCACCCATTTGACTATGAGCACAGAAATACATATCCTAATCTTAAAATAATGATTCCTAACTAGTCATAAGTCTGCCTGTGATACTCCAATATAGAAACTATGTATTGTGCCAAAACAAAAGCATTCACATTGCTAAACTCACAAACTAGTACTTGTCACTTAGTATTTAGTCACTTAGTATTTAGTCAACTTACTCCACAATTTGTTATAATTTAGGGTTAAGAATTAATCAAAGTTTGCCCGAAATGCCTAGCCGTGCTAGGTGTTCTAGTGGTCCCCTCTGTAATTAGTATTTTACTATGTGTAAACCACACAATAACCAAAATCTGTAAACCCCGCATTGCAATCCTTATAGAGAATAAACTTTGATTTGATTGATATACAGTACCTATGAATTTAACCCCAATGGAAATAAGTAACTTTGTCTAACTTTTTTTGGGTTATCCTAGTAGGTACTTCACATTATGTATGATAATTGTTCTTATGTGTACCTGTGCCTAAATAAGCTTACTTGCTCCCCCACACTGAAATCTTGACCGTGCTAACATCTATACCTGGAGAGGGTTTTGGGGGTCAACACCCCCATAGCCCAGTCAAAACAGTTTGTGTCTAGTAATTTTTGCAATTTTTTGCATTATGCATTAACTGTATAATAATTATTTGTTGTACATGTACATAAGCATGGCACATTCAGTGTAGAAAATCCTGTGTATCAATGCTTCTTTATTTTAGATAATGTTCCCCTGAGGTCACCATTGTACACCTATAATATATTCGTTGCTGAGAATGATTATTATTATAATTATTATTATGCAAAACAACCACAGGGGTAGATGAATAGCTCTAGGCCTTACATGTTGGAATTAACACATCATCAAGTGCTTGCAATGTTGCAAGCTCATGATAATGTGTTGATTGCAACATGAAAGGCCTAGAGCTATCATTCAACTCCCTCTGTGGTTGCTTTGCATCCTGTACTGCTTGTTTGAGATACTTGCGTAAAATTATTATTATATATAACAAGAAGTTCTAAATCTATATGAATGATACAGTACTGCATGTTATTTTTAAAGCCTATTGACTGTTGGATGTCAATCAACAGACTTTAAATGAACGAATGATAAAAAATTTAATTGGATTAACCTCAGAGGGTTAGTAACCCAGTATAACCCAAGATTATTATCCTCAGTATAACCCAGGATAATCCAGGATTATTAGCCTCAGAGTAGCCCAGGACAACCCAAGATTGATAAATCAGACACATGTGCAACTCTTGGGTATCTTTACTGAGTTGCACATGTGTCCAATTTATCAAATTGTCGGTTGTCTGAACCATTCATCTACAACCCAAGATCACTAGCCTCAGAGTAGCCCAGGACAACCCAAGATAATTAGCCTCAGAGTAGCCCAGGGCAACCCAAGATTATTAGCCTCAGAGTAGCCCAGGATAACCCAAGATTATCAGCCTCAGAGTGGCCCAGGATAACCCAAGATTATCAGCCTCAGAGTAGCCCAGGATAACCCAAGATAATTAGCCTCAGAGTAGCCCAGGACAACCAAAGATAATTAGCCTCAGAGTAGCCCAGGGCAACCCAAGATAATTAGCCTCAGAGTAGCCCAGGACAACTCAAGATAATTAGCCTCAGAGTAGCCCAGGACAACCCAAGATAATTAGCCTCAGAGTAGCCCAGGATAACCCAAGATTATCAGCCTCAGAGTAGCCCAGCCCAACCCAAGATTATTAGCCTCAGAGTAGCCCAGGACAACCCAAGATCATTAGCCTCAGAGTAGCCCAGGACAACCCAAGATAATTAGCCTCAGAGTAGTCCAGGACAACCCAAGATAATTAGCCTCAGAGTAGCCCAGGACAACCCAAGATAATTAGCCTCAGAGTAGCCCAGGATAACCCAAGATTATCAGCCTCAGAGTAGCCCAGGGCAACCCAAAATTATTAGCCTCAGAGTAGCCCAGGACAACCAAGATTATTAGCCTCAGAGTAGCCCAGGGCAACCCAAGATTATTAGCCTCAGTGTAGCCCAGGACAACCCAAGATAATTAGTCTCAGAGTAGCCCAGGGCAACCCAAGATTATTAGCCTCAGAGTAATCCAGGGCAACCCAAGATTATTAGCCTCAGAGTAGCCCAGGACAACCCAAGATCATTAGCCTCAGAGTAGCCCAGGATAACCCAAGATTATCAGCCTCAGAATAGCCCAGGGCAACCCAAGATTATTAGCCTCAGAGTACCCCAAGACAACCCAAGATAATTAGCCTCAGAGTAGCCCAGGACAACCCAAGATAATTAACCTAAGAGTAGCCCAGGACAACCCAAGATAATTAACCTAAGAGTACCCCAGGACAACCCAAGATCATTAGCCTCAGAGTACCCCAGGACAACCCAAGTTAATTAGCCTCAGAGTAGCCCAGGACAACCCAAGATAATTAGCCTCAGAGCACCCCAGGACAACCCAAGATAATTAGCCTCAGAGCAGCCCAGGACAACCCAAGATTATTAGCCTCAGAGTACCGCAGGACAACCCAAGATTATTAGCCTCAGAGTAGCCCAGGGCAACCCAAGATTATTAGCCTCAGTGTAGCCCAGGACAACCCAAGATAATTAGCCTCAGAGTAGCCCAGGGCAACCCAAGATAATTAGCCTCAGAGTAGCCCAGGGCAACCCAAGATTATTAGCCTCAGAGTAGCCCAGGACAACCCAAGATCATTAGCCTCAGAGTAGCCCAGGATAACCCAAGATTATCAGCCTCAGTGTAGCCCAGGACAACCCAAGATAATTAGCCTTAGAGAAGCCCAAGACAACCCAAGATAATTAGCCTCAGTGTAGCCCAGGACAACCCAAGATAATTAGCCTCAGAGTAGCCCAGGGCAACCCAAGATTATTAGCCTCAGAGTAGCCCAGGGCAACCCAAGATTATTAGCCTCAGAGTAGCCCAGGACAACCCAAGATAATTAGCCTCAGAGTAGCCCAGGGCAACCCAAGATAATTAGCCTCAGATTAGTCCAGGGCAAACCAAGATAATTAGCCTCAGAGTAGCCCAGGACAACCCAAGTCACTAGCCTCAGAGTAGCCCAGGACAACCCAAGATAATTAGCCTCAGAGTAGCCCAGGGCAACACAAGATTATTAGCCTCAGAGTAGCCCAGGACAACCCACGATAATTAGCCTCAGAGTAGCCCAGGGCAACCCAATATAATTAGCCTCAGAGTAGCCCAGGGCAACCCAAGATTATTAGCCTCAGAGTAGCCCAGGACAACCCAAGATAATTAGCCTCAGAGTAGCCCAGGGCAACCCAAGATTATTAGCCTCAGAGTAGCCCAGGACAACCCAAGATCATTAGCCTCGGAGTAACCTAGGATAAGCCAAGATTATTAGCCTCGGAAAAATGCAGAATAACCAGGATGACCCACAGGAGTCATACAGCACCTGCAAACATTCAGGTTCGATCCAAAATAAGGATGATGCTCCACTTCCTCGCATCAAGAACCCATCACCGGCATCAAGGAACTATTCACTGAAGGAAAAACGCAAAAGTATTAATCAAAAAACATTTACTTGTCACTGTAATAAAGGTTTGTCATCGTATAATCTACTGTTAATCATTCTATAATGTTCTCAACCATTCCTACTTATTATTTTCCTAATTTATCCTCTAATTATAGTAAATATAGAAGAGTCTGTAAGAACTGGCAGCTTAGGCCTCACACAGCCTTACCTGCCTCTGTAATGGCAGGAAAATCACCCAAATATAGAAGGAAAATTAAAAATAGGCCAAATTTCTCAAAATAGTGAGATAAAGTCCTACCAATTATAGGCCACACAACTATTGACAATTTTATGGCCTGTGTTCCGCCATATTGTTGTTGTTATTGTTGGGGGTTTTAAGGTCCACCAAAACTTAAGACCTTATTGAACCCAGCCTCCCGCGCCTCCATATGTAAGATTATGCAGAACAAGCCACATGAGGAGGGAAATCTTCAGTTCAAGATCTTACGCACTCTCGTGCGTCTTCAGGAGGTATGCAGTGTTGCAAGACAGCAACAGATATAACGTTAAATTCTTTGAGGCAAGGCAGGTGCCAGTGACAACTCATATTACAGACATGGGTTGCTACTGAGACACGTTCTGCCTTGCCTCAGAGAAATTCCCCTCCTATCTACTGCTGTCTTGCAACACTGCATAGCTCCTGAAGACACACGAGAGTGCGAAAGATCTTGAGCTAAAGATTTCCATGTGGTTTGTTCTGCATTAATATCGCATGTTTGCGATTTTATTGCATTACGTAAGTTTAGGTACAGGTACACATACGTACATTATACACAGTGTAAATTATCCACCAAGATAACCCAAAAAAAAGCTAGGAAGTGATTTATTTCTATTGGGGGCCTTATGTCTGTCTTCAACCTATCGGTATTATATACCGGTAATAAGTCCAAGAATACCAATGGAAATGTTAATTTTTCTGACTTTTGGGGGGTTATCCTAATGGGTTATTTACATACGTGTTAAACTATGTATGATAATTGTACTTATGTGTACTTGTAACTAAATAAACTTACTAACAAGCTTTCCTTTACCCTAGAACCTCTTTTTCAGGCTTTTAGGGCCACTTAGAGCTTACACCGTATCGAACCCTGCCTTCCAGTGTCCCGGGAAGAAACAGTAAGTTTATATCAGCACAGGTACACATGAAGAACAATCGTCATGCATGACTTACTTCCATTGGAAGAAAGTTGACTAGCACAGCTAAAACTAAAACTGTCAGGGATACGTGACCTAGAACATGAAACCATCAATCACCACCTCGTTGAATATTCTTTCGTACAGTAATGAGGAAACAATTATTATTATAATCATAATGAAGCGTTAAACCCTTAACAGTCATGTAGAAACGAGAGAAACTTATTACGATGAGCGACGCTCTAAACACGTATCTTAGCGCTTCTTTTTGATAATAATAATAATAATTTAAACACGTACGTGTCATACAGCAGCTGTGCGAGTGAGGTGTAATCGGATTTTGATCGCGGGTTCTATCCCCATCCGTGGTATGGTTTGTTTGCAATAGTGTCATTACGATTTCGTGAGTCAAAGTAAGGAAGGATAGCTGTTAATTCTTTTAATCAAGAAGCACTGACCTTTTTTTTGGGGGGAGGAGGGATTACCCTAGGTAATTTACACTGGCTTATTCCAAGGACCCTAATGGAAATAAGTAAAAATTTTTAGGGGTTATCCTGGTGGGTAATTCACACATGTTACTATGTATGGTAATTGTACTTATGTGTACCTGTACCTGCAGGTCACACCGAGGTCCGGGGTTCCCATCTCTGGTACGGCTGGAAAACATTACGGACGTGTTTCTATAAGACACCTGCTGTTCCTGTTCTTCCATCAGTAAAATGTGTACCTGGGTGTTAGTGGACTGGTGTGGGTCGCATCCTGGGACACTGACCTAATTTGTGGAAAATGCTCAACATAACTAGGGGCTTTCTATATAGCAGTATGTCACTGATGTCATCTATGGCCTATATACCTTGTACATGTACATGTAGTAATTAATTATTATTGTTAGATAATTTACACTGGGTTATCCTAGGTAATGTTACTATGTAAGCCAGTTGTAATCATTTAAAACTTGTATAACTGTTCCCTAATAAACTTATCCAGAGTTTGTTATATTATAATCATAACTAAGCACTAGACCCACAAGGGTCATACAGTGCTGCATCCAGCGTTCAAAGGAAACTTTAACTGATGAAAGTAACGTCAATGTCTATTTATTCAGTATATTTTTAGGTAATTAAGTACATTTATATTAAGAGACAATTTGCAAGTAGTTTTATTAACGCGGATCGCTGTATGACTTGTGGGTTTAGCACTTAGTTTTAATTACAATAATAATAATATTACCATGAATTTTACAGGTGTTGAAGGCATTAGTCTGCTGTGAGAGTAACGTGTTTTACAGCATCAACCTTCCACCACACTTTGAGCTACATAACTATTATATTCATAAGGAAGCAGTAAGCTCATGGGTCATATAACCTGGGATATGCGAGGCAGTCAGGCTTGAACTATGGAAGAAATAGGTGGCTTCAGTTCCTTAAACCAAGAGCCCTTCGGTATCAAAACAATCCTACCTTCTTGAATGTACTTGGAATTTGAATGGAGGTTACTGTATTATTATATTCACAAATACATCACAAAGCAATTGTTTATGTTGTTAATAGGAAAGTACAGTGGACCCTTGACCAACGATATTAATCCATTCCTGAGGGCTCATCGTTAGTCGAAATTATCGTTAGTCGAGTTAATTTTCCCCATAAGAAATAATGGAAATCAAATTAATCCGTGCAAGACACCCAAAAGTAATGAAAAAAAAAAAAATTTACCACATGAAATATTAATTTTAATACACACAAACTGAAGAAGACATGTACAATTACATGACACTTACCTTTATTGAAGATCTGGTGATGATTGATGGGATGAGAGGAGGGGAAACCGTTGATCTTGTTAGTGTTTAGAAGGGGAATCCCCTTCCATTAGCACTTGAGGTGTCAAGTCCTTTTCCGGGGTTACTTCCCTTCTTCTTTTAATGCCACTAGGACCAGCTTGAGAGTCACTGGACCTCTGTCGCACAACATATCTGTCCATAGAGGCCTGTACCTCCTGTTCCTTTATGACATTCCTGAAGTGTTTCACAACATTGTCAGTTTGATAGTCACCAGCACGGCTTGCAATAGCTGTGTGAGGGTGATTTTCATCAAAAAAGGTTTGCACTTTAAGCCACATTGCACACATTTCCTTAAGCTTTGAAGTAGACAACTTCTTCAATTTCTCTATCCCCTCCTCCGGAGCAGTTTCCTCAGGTCTGGCCTCTTGCTGTTGAAGATGATCTTGCAGCTCATCAGTGGTTAGTTCATTGTCGTCCTCCACCAACTCTTCCACATCCTCCCCACTAACCTCCAACCCCAAGGACTTCCGCAATGCCACAGTTGATTCCACAACTGGCATAGGCTTCTCAGGGTTAGCCTCAAATCCTTCAAAATCCCTTTTGTCTACACATTCTGGCCACAATTTCTTCCAAGCAGAGTTCAAGGTCCTCTTAGTCACTTCCTCCCAGGCTTTGCCTATAATGTTTACACAATTGAGGATGCTAAAGTGATCTCTCCAAAACTCTCTTAGAGTCAATTGAGTTTCTGAGGTCACTACAAAGCACCTTTCAAACATAGCTTTTGTGTAGAGTTTTTTGAAGTTTGCAATGACCTGCTGGTCCATGGGCTGCAGGAGAGGAGTGGTATTAGGAGGCAAAAACTTGACCTTAATGAAGCTCATGTCCCCAGAAAGTCGCTCTGCCACGACTGAAGGATAACCAGGAGCACTGTCTAATACCAGGAGGCACTTAAGGTCCAATTTATTTTCCAGGAGGTAATTTTTCACAGTGGGGGCAAATGCATGGTGTAACCAGTCATAGAAAAGGTCTCTAGTGACCCATGCCTTACTGTTTGCCCTCCACATCACACACAAATTAGCCTTGAGGACATTGTTTTTCCTGAACACTCTGGGAGTTTCAGAGTGATACACCAATAAAGGCTTCACTTTGCAATCACCACTAGCATTAGCACACATCAACAGAGTAAGCCTGTCTTTCATAGGCTTATGTCCTGGGAATGCCTTTTCCTCCTGAGTAATGTAGGTCCTGCTTTGCATTTTCTTCCAAAACAGGCCTGTTTCGTCACAATTAAACACTTGTTCAGGTTTCAATTCTTCACTGTCTATGTACTCCTTGAATTCCTGCACATATTTTTCAGCTGCATTTTGGTCCGAACTGGCAGCCTCACCATGCCTTATCACACTATGTATGCCACTACGATTCTTAAATCTCTCAAACCAACCTTTGCTGGCCTTAAATTCACTCACATCACCACTAGTTGCAGGCATTTTTCTAATTAAATCGTCATGCAACTTCCTAGCCTTTTCACATATGATCGCTTGAGAGATGCTATCTCCTACTATCTGTTTTTCGTTTATCCACACCAATAACACTCTCTCAACATCTCCTATCACTTGCGATCTCAGTTTCGAAAACATAGTTGCACCTTTGGCAAGAACAGCTTCCTTGATTGCCGTTTTCTTGGCCACAATAGTAGCGATGGTTGATTGGGGTTTTGTGTACAACCTGGCCAGCTCGGAGACACGCACTCCACTTTCATACTTAGCAATGATCTCTTTCTTCATATCCATAGTAATTCTCACCCTTTTTGCTGTAGGGTTAGCACTAGAAGCTTTCTTGGGGCCCATGATGACTTATTTTGCAGGTGCAATCACTAAAAATGCTGTGATAATATGAAATGTTCCGATTGCATGTTTGGATGGGACCGCGGTGGCTGGCTGGCTTGTAAACACTGGCACCCACGGGACAAGTGAGGCGTGCTCAGGCCACAAGTGGATGCGTTTCGAACAGAACGAATAGCGTTGGTCGAGTTTTTTAGCGCTAGTCGAGGCAAAATTTTTGCGTTGAAATGTATCGCTAGTCAGATTTAACGTTATACGATGCCATCATTGGTCGAGCGTCCACTGTACTAAACTTGTACAGTTCATACATCTATCACAAAGTAGAAAATACACCTACCATCCGACTTACGACCTGCTCGACTTGCGACCACTCGACTTACGACCGTGTTTTTTATGCCAAATTTCTGGGAAATATACAACTATTTGTGTTGTACACAGTGTTTATCCTAAACCTTACAATATAAAATACAGTACTAACAACATAAAAAGTAAAGTAAAACATGAAATACCAAAATAAAACAATAAAATAAAGTCATTACAAAAATGTTTTGTTGATATTCAGCAGTAAAGTTTGACTTACGACCATTTCAACTTACAACCGGTTTCTCGGAACCGAACTCGGTCGTAAGTCGGATGGTAGATGTATAAACAAAAACATCTGCAATACAGTTTTGTGCGGTTGAGCTTCAAATGTTTACATTATCCACTCAGATAAGGCAGAGTAACAAATTATTATATTGTTATATTCAGTGGAGATGCTAAACCCCTGAGGGTCATACAGCGCCTGAGAAATGGAAGTACGTAATCATGTTTGACCCAAATGTACTGTTACTCTGATTGCAGAAAGCGCTACACAGTCATACCCCACTTCATGTCATTTCAGCCTACCTCAAATTTACCTTTACGCCACTTTTCTGGAGTAAATTTCAGTTCAGTGAATGTCATTATGTCCAACTTTGTGTCTCAGCAATGTCACCTACATCATGATTTTTTTAATTGTTTTCATTATTCTTTAAAAAATGTGACTAAAATGTGTTTTTAGTGTTCTTTAAGGTTTAGCAATAGTTATATTCTTTTGTGAGTTATTTGTGCTAGTTTTACAGTGTTTGTCATCATTTTAAAGCATTATGTCCGGTTTACGTCAAAAACCGGGTTACCTCACAGCTCTTTGAACCAATTACCACTAATGACCACATGAACTGTTAGTGTCTTACTAATCTTAACCCTTTGACTGTCGCGGCCGTATATATACGTTTGTGAGGTACCGTGTTTGACGTATATATACTCATAAATTCTAGCGGCTTCAAATCAGGCAGGAGAAAGCTAGTAGGCCCACATGTGAGAGAATGGGTCTGTGTGGTCAGTGTGCACCACATAAAAAAAATCCTGGAGCACGCAGTGCATAATGAGAAAAAAAAACTCCGACCGTTTTTTTTAATTAAAATGCCGACTTTGTGGTCTATTTCATATAGTATTTGGGGTTGTATTCTCGTTTTCATGGTCTCATTTGATAGAATGGAAACTATATTATAGAAATGGAGGTGATTTTGATTAATTTTAACTATAAAAAGAACCTGGAAATGGAGCACAAAGTACAGGAAATGTTTGATTTTTGCCGATGTTCAAAAGTAAACAAATGATGTCATTGTCCAATAAATGCCCAAAAATAGCCATTCTAAAAACGCAGTCATGAATGGGTTGATGTAATTTTTACAATTATTACAGTATTGCAGTAGTCTGCATAACAGTAAATCTTCTATTTTTTGTTTGAATAAAGTTTCAAAATAAAAAGCAAGAGTAATATCACAGGACCTGGAGACATGACTGATGAACAAAGAAAATCTTATTTTAGAGCCAGGAATGTCTGCATTGTTCATTCTGGACCTTATTTTGAAATTGTCGTATTTTTTAATTTTCGTGAAATTGGCCAAATTGCAAATTTCTGACCATGTTATTGGGTAGTTGAAATCGGTAAATGGGCAGTTTCTTGTGCTCAATCGATAGAAAAAATAGAGTTCTGAAGAAATAGTTATGAGTTTGGTTGACTGGAATAACGGAATTAGCCGAAAATAGGGCTCAAAGTGGGCGAAATTGCCGATTTTTAAATATCGCCGAAGTCGCTAACTTCGCGAGAGCATAATTCCGTCAGTTTTCCATCAAATTTCGTTTTTTTGGTGTCTTTACAATCGGGAAAAGATTCTCTATCATTTCATAAGAAAAAATAATTTTTTATTTTTTCGAATATTTTGCGACACCAGGAGCAACTTCAGGATTGGGCCCTTCGACAGTCAAAGGGTTAAGTTAATTTTAAGTTTGCCCAAAATGCTCTGCATACAAAAGGGCTTTTAGCATGTACACCCAACTATTATTCCTTTGTACAACCATGTATCGTGTCAAAATAAATTTATTATTAATAATTAATGACATAGAGCTGGGTATGACTGTACACAAATGACTCCACACACACAATGAAATTTATGAGGACTTATTGGTCCAAGATGGACCATTAATTAGTCACACATATTGGTCCAAGTCAATCTGAATCATTATCATAAGTTTCATTCTCCTATGTGCAAGTTATTTGTGTATTGTTCCAGTCATGGTACCGTGTCTTTTTACAATAGAATGAAACTTATGACGACACATATTGGTAAGGCATCATCTCTTTAAGGTCTAATTTTATATAACTAAATGTATATTATTATTTACAAACATTATTTCAAGAGTAATACTGTATTCTCCAATGATATATCAAAGGATAACGACCAGGTAGGCAAAATTAATACACACTTTTCATATATGATAAATATTTAATTGGGTGGATTAGAAAATGAATAAAAATTGTGTATATTTCAGATATATATTTTTTTTATTTTGCCACATCACTAAATTATAGTAACTTCAAGACTAATTCGCTAATATTCAAACAAAAATAATGAAACAGCAGTAATTTACAGTAAAAATAAACATGTTTTATGTGTACCCTTCAAAGAAGAACTTTTAATTCAAGAAACAGAAGTTGCCACTCCTCTCTTGAACTAAACTTGATTACAGTGGACCCTTGAATTTCGTCCCCCATGAATATCATGAATTTTTGGAAATCGGTGACTTTTTTCTTCAAAATATTGGCTTGATTTTCGTGATTTGGCTTAGAAATTGGCAGTCATGTGAAACGAGTCCGAGCAGCCTATCAGCAGCCGTGGGCACACAAACACCATTCAGTGTCAGTCTGGCATTGTATCTCGGCGAGTGATGATCACCTCACGGGTTCATATGATACATTTCTTAATATATTTCATTTGTTTTAGTGCTTGCAGCTGCTAAATAAGCCACCATGGGCCCAAAGAAAGCTCCTAGTGCCAGCCCTTTGGTAAACAAAGTGAGAAACACAATTGAAGTAAACAAAGAGATCATAGAAAAATATGAAAGTGGAGTGCGTGTGGTGGAGCTCTCCAGGATGTACAGGAAAGCCCATTCAACCATCACTTCCACTGTGGTGAAGAAAAAGGAAATCAAGGAAGCTGATGTTGCAAAAGGGGTGAATATGCTAACGAAAAAGAGATCGCAAATAATCGAAGGTGTTGAGGAGATGTTGCTGGTGTGGATCGAACAAAAGGATAATTTGGGAAAAGGCAAGGCAGTTGCATGATGATCTCATGAAGAAAAGGCCTGGAACAAGTGCTGACATAGGTGAATTCAAAGCCAGCAAAGGCTGGTTCAAAAATTTCAAGAAGGGAAGTGGCATACACATTGTTGTGAGGCATGGTGAGGCTGCCAGTTCAGACAAACATGCAGCTGAAAAATTCATAAGTGAATTCAAGGACTATGTAGAGGCTGAAGGATTCTTCCCCCTACAAGTGTTCAGTTGTGACGAAACAGGCCTGTTTTGGAAGAAAATGCCAAAGAGGATCTGCATCACGCAGGAGGAAAAGGCACTGCCAGGACACAATCCTATGAAAGACAGGCTAACTCTCATGTTGTGTGGTAATGCTAGTGGGGATTTCAAAGTGAAGCCTTTACTGGTGTATCACTCTGAAAATCCCAGAGTGTTCAAGAAAAACAGTGTCATGAAGGCTAATTTGTGTGTGATGTGGAAGGCTAACAGTAAGGCATGGGTCATGAGAGACATTTTCCTTGATTGGTTCTATGAAGTGTTTGGCCCCAGTGTGAAGAAATACCTCCTGGAAAATAAATTGGAACTCAAGTGCCTCCTGGTAATGGACAATGCTCCTGTTGATCCTCCAGACTTGGAAGAGCAAATGGTGAAGAAGTTTAATTTCATCACAGTGAACTTCTTGCCCCCCCTAATTCCAGTGACTCCTCCAGCCCATGGACCAGCAGATCATTTCAAGCTTCAAAAAACTCTACACCAAAGCAACGTTTCAAAGGTGCTTTAACATAACCTTGGACTCTGAATTGACCCTAAGAGAGTTCTGGAAAGATTGCTTCAATATCCTCCATTGCATAAACCTTATAGGTAAGGCTTGGCAGGGAGTGACTTCCAGGATGATGAACTCTGCTTGAAGAAAATTGTGGCCAAAATGTGTCCTCGACAAAGATTTTGAAGAGTTTGAGGCTGACCCTGAGGACCCTATGCCAGTTGTGGAATCTATTGTGGCATTGGGGAAGCCCATGGGGTTGGAGGTTAGTGGGGAGGATGTGGAAGAGTTGGAGGAGGACCACAATGAAGAGCTAACCACTGAAGAGCTGCTAGACCTTAATCTGCAACAGCAACAGATCACAGCTCAAGAAATTGCTTCAGAGGAGGTGGAGAGAGGGAAGAAAGTTGCTTTCTTCAGAGGTTAAGGAGATGTGTGCAGTGTGGACTAGGATGGAAAAATTTGTGGAGGAACATCACCCTGACAAAGCTGTTGCAGGCTGTGTATGAGACATGTTCAATGACAACGTCTTGTCTCATTTTGGGCAAATTTTAAAGAAACGCCAGAAACAGACATTTCTGGAACAATTTTTTGAGCGACAGGGATCCAGTGACTCTCAAGCTGGTCCTAATTGCATTAGAAAACAAAGAAAGGAAGTAACCCCAGAAAAGAACTTGGTACTTGAAGTCTTTATGGAAGGGGATTCCCCCTTCCAAACAATAGTAACTCTTCCATCCTCTCCCCTCTTCCGCACATCAACAACTCTTCAATAAAAGTAAGTGTCAAGTTGTTATTGTTTTATTCTTCATGTCTCATTGTTTTCTGTGTAGAAATATGCACATTTAATGGAAAAAAAAAAATTAATACTTTTGGGTGTCTGGAATATATTAATTTAATTTACATTATTATGGGGAAAATGATTTTGAAAATAATGAATTTTGAATTTCGGCGGACTCTCTGGAATGGATTAATCACGAAATTCAAGGGTCCACTGTACCTCCTATTGCCTATGTGATATATGGCTTTTACAAGTTTAGTGTTTTCCCCATCAATGTAACATACGCAGATTTTTTTTAACACACCAGGGTGACCTAAAAAGAAAAACTAAAGTCTTTCTTTTTAAATTTAGTAATTTATACAGTAGAAGGGGTTACTAGTCCCTTGTTCCCAGCATTTTAGTCGCCTCTTACGACACACATGGCTTACAGAGGAAGAATTCTTTTCCACTTCCCAATGGAGAATATGTGCAGGTATAATTTTTTAAACAATTTAATACACCAGCCATCTCTTCCACAGAGGTAGGGTGACCCCAAAAAAAGAAGAAACTCTTTCACCATCACTTACTCCATTACTGTCTTGTCAAAAGGGTTCTGATATTACAATTCAAAACTAAAATATCTCCTTCCAAGTACAGACACTGTACTTCCTACCTCAAGGACTTGAGTCCAGCTAACCAGTTTCCTGAATCCTTTCATAAATGTTACTTTGCTCACACTCCAACAGTACATTGGAGTGTGGGCTAAACCTGTATGTCATGCAGTATCCTTCTCCATCAATCTTTTTTCATAAAAATACAATAACTACAAATACAGAAATTCATTCTAACATACTGTACATAAATTGGTAACAATTTTGTCTTTGTCAGTTGCTGTATCCTTGTGAATGTAACAAGAATAACAGATTAACCCTTAAACTGTCCAAACGTAGATCTTCGTTTTTTCAACATTTGAAAGTATGTAAAAAAACGTAGATCTTTTTTTTTTTACATTTAAAAACGTGTAAAAAAACTGATCTACGTTTTTTTTTTTATTTGAAAATATGTAAAAAAACGATGATCTACTTTTGGAGCACTGCGCATGTGAATGGAAATCTGTTTGGACAGTTTAAGGGTTAAATAACATACTTCATCTTAAGTTAATTATCACAGATATTCCTAACACAGATTTACTTAATACAATTTCAGAGTAAATGAATTGAAATTTAGAATTATTTAACAAATGATGGCTGAGTACATTATGTGTACCAAGATATGGTATAAACCTTGTTTAAGTGTGTTTCTAAACCAACCAAGATATACATATCTCTCAGAGTATATGTACACTAAGAGGTATAAGTCTCTGAGTATATACAGGAGGTGTGTATCTCTCATGGTATACAAGACATATTTCTCAATGTTACATTGAGAAGTACAGCATATATTTTTCAGCATACATACTGTACAGTGGACCCCCAGTGTTTGTCCTTAATTCATTTCAGAAGGTATGTTGAAATCCAAAATGGACAAAAACTGAAGTAATACAGTGTACATGCATTTCCCATAAGAAATAATGTAAATCCAATTAATCTGTTCCAGACACCCAAAAATATTAACAAAAAATAAATTAAGTTAGTAATAGAACTAGGCATTAAAAAACACAATAAAAAGTAAAATACATACACAGTACATTCATTACTTACCTTAAAATATTTGTAGTCTTAATGTAGGGTGAGAGGTGAGTAGTATTTATTTGTAGGAAGTCAGTGTAGGTAGCCGGTAGGTGTAGCCTGCCTGGGCTACACCTATCGGCTACCTACACTGTGGCCCAAAGCCATATTATTACCATTGACATACCATGTTCACTGAGTTTAATCATTTCTAACAACTACCTTTAGATGCTATCATAAACAAAAGGAGAAGAAATGAATAATTCATGCCAAGAATTATAAACAAAAGCGTTATGTACATATAAAGGGTGGTGACTGCGCCAATGTAGATTCATATATGTTTTCTCTAATGCTGGACCAGAGAAAACGTAATGTTTTCCCTCCAACGACTACCACCTCTCCATAGCATATAAACACTGCATGTTTATATGCTATGTAACATGTTTCTTATATGATTTTGAAGAAAATATCCTAGATGTATTAAGGAAAATGTCTATATTAACGTAAAATAAGACATTTAATGTGCCCAAGAGTGAGTCACAAATGTATGAGCGGCCCAGGCGGATGTGTCTGGTACAGATGATTTCTGAGCGGATGTACAAAACCCAGGGTAAAATTTCGCTGCAAAAAGTGGTCGAAATCCAAATTGTAAGATTTCCACACCAGATGAAATCCGGGGGTCCACTACATATTGAGAGATTCGTATTTCTTACTGTTACATTGAGAAGTACAGCATATATTTCTCAGGATATATACTGTATATTGAAATATTCATATTTCTCACTGTTACACTGAGAGGTATAGTATATATTTCTCAGGATATACAGTGGACCCTCAACCAGCGATGGCATCGATTAATGATAAATCTGACTAGCGATACATTCTAACGCAAAAATTTTGCCTCGACTAGCGCTTAAAAACCCGACCAGCGCTATTTGTTCCATACGAGACGCGTCCACTTTGGCCTGAGCGCGCCTCACTTGTCCCGTGGGTGCCAGTGTTTACAAGCCAGCCACCGCGGTAGCTTCCAAACATACAACTGGAACATTTCATATTATCACAGCCTTTGTAGTGATTGCACCTGCAAAATAAGTCACCATGGGCCCCAAGAAAGCTTCTAGTGCCAACCCTACAGCAAAAAGGGTGAGAATTACTATGGAAATGAAGAAAGAGATCATTGCTAAGTATGAAAGTGGAGTGCATGTCTCTGAGCTGGTCAGGTTGTATAATAAACCCCAATCAACCATCGCTACTATTGTGGGCAAGAAAACGGCAATCAAGGAAGCTGTTCTTGCCAAAGGTGCAACTATGTTTTCGAAACTGAGATCACAAGCGGTAGAAGATGTTGAGAGACTCTTATTGGTGTGGATAAACGAGAAACAGATAGCAGGAGATAGCATCTCTCAAGCGATCATATGTGAAAAGGCTAAGAAGTTGCATGACGATTTAATTAAAAAAATGCCAGCAACTAGTGATGTGAGTGAATTTAAGGCCAGCAAAGGTTGGTTTGAGAGATTTAAGAAGCGTAGTGGCATTCATAGTGTGATAAGGCATGGTGAGGCTGCCAGTTAGGACCACAAAGCGGCTGAAAAATATGTGCAGGAATTCAAGGGGTACACAGACAGTGAAGGACTGAAACCTGAACAAGTGTTTAATTGTGACGAAACAGGCCTGTTTTGGAAGAAAATGCCAAGCAGGACGTACATTACTCAGGAGGAAAAGGCACTCCCAGGACATAAGCTGATGAAAGACAGGCTTACTCTGTTGATGTGTGCCAATGCTAGTGGTGACTGCAAAGTGAAGCCTTTATTGGTGTATCACTCTGAAACTCCCAGAGTGTTCAGGAAAAACAATGTCGTCAAGGCTAATCTGTGTGTGCTGTGGAGGGCAAACAGTAAGGCATGGGTCACTAGGGACTTTTTCTATGACTGGTTACACCATGTATTTGCCCCCAATGTGAAAAATTACCTAATTGAAAAGAAATTAGACCTTAAGTGCCTCCTGGTATTAGACAATGCTCCTGGTCATCCTTCAGACTTGGCAGAGCGACTGTCTAGGGACATGAGCTTCATTAAGGTGAAGTTTTTGCCTCCTAATACCACTCCTCTCCTGCAGCCCATGGACCAGCAGGTCATTTCCAACTTCAAGAAACTGTACTCAAAAGCTATGTTTGAAAGGTGCTTTGTAGTGACCTCAGAAACTCAACTGACTCTAAGAGAGTTTTGGAAAGATCATTTTACCATCCTCAATTGTGTAAACATTATAGGTAAGGCTTGGGAGGAAGTGACTAAGAGGACCTTGAACTCTCCTTGGAAAAAACTGTGGCCAGAATGTGTAGACAAAAGGGATTTTGAAGGGTTTGAGGCTAACCCTGAGACTCCTATGCCAGTTGAGGAATCCATTGTGGCATTGGGGAAGTCCTTGGGGTTGGAGGTTAGTGGGGAGGATGTGGAAGAGCTGGTGGAGGAGGACAATGAAGAACAAACCACTGATGAGCTGCAAGATCATCTTGAACAGCAGGAGGGCAGACCTGAGGAAACTGCTTCGGAGGAGGGGATAGAGAAATTGAAGAAGTTGCCTACTTCTAAGATTAAGGAAATGTGTGCAAAGTGGCTTGAAGTGCAAACCGTTTTTGATGAAAATCACCCTGACACAGGTACTGCAAGCCGTGTTGGCAACCTGTACACTGACAATGTTGTGAACCACTTTAGGAAAGTCATAAAGGAACGAGAGGTACAGGTATCTATGGACAGATATGTTGTGCGACAGAAGTCCAGTGACTCTCAAGCTGGCCCTAGTGGCATTAAAAGAACAAGGGAAGTAACCCCAGAAAAAGACTTGCTACCTCAAGTGCTAATGGAAGGGGATTCCCCTTCTAAACACTAAGAAGATCAACGGTCTCCCCTCCTCCCATCCCATCCCATCAATCATCACCAGATCTTCAATAAAGGTAAGTGTCATGTAACTGTGCATGTCTTCTTCAGTTTGTGTGTATTAAAATTAATATTTCATGTGGTAAAATTTTTTTTTTCAATACTTTGGGGTGTCTTGCACGGATTAATTTGATTTCCATTATTTCTTATGGGGAAAATTAACTTGACTAACGATTATTTCGATTAACGATGAGCTCTCAGGAATGGATTAATATCGCTGGTTGAGGGTCCACTGTATACTGTATACTGAGAGATTCATATTTGCTTTAATCCATATACATATTTTGAATTAAATTTTCTTGGGTGCTGCTGAACAAGTCATAAGCAGCATTAATGACCCTTTACACAACATAAACCAAGTATTTAGATGTTTCAGTACTCTGGTTACCTGTCCTGACACTTAACTAGGTACAATATATGCATTTTGTAACATTTGGGAATGCAGATACTCCTCGACTTATGATGGGGTTACATTCCGACAAACCCATCGTAAGTCAGAAATATTTTGTCAAATATGAATGTGATATGCTAAATAAATAAGTAAATAAATAACTAGTGTCACTGAATAAGTAAATAAACAAATAATTACTGTAACTAAATACCAGTATTGACAAGTAAATAAATGAGCACAAGTTACAGACCTACTGCTTTCATGCTGGGTAATTATCTTAAGTTTCATCTAAGTAACTGTTTGTGCACCATCGTAAAGTCAAAATATCATAAGTTGAACCATCGTATGTCGAGGAGCACCTGCACATACTAAATATGTTAATAAATAGGCAAAGCAGGAAGTTGTAATCCATTAGGAGGTAATGTAGAATGTACTATAACCACTGGACCAACTAGTTTACCATGTCCCCTTGATTATGATAATAATAATACAACCACAGGTGGCAGGTAATGGTGTAAAATACCAACATGGATGCAAATTAAGTGACGTGATAAGTTCCTGCAGTGGCAAAAGGTCATCAATAAAACTTCCACGTAACTATATCTGTATCAATTTCTCACCATAACCACTGGAAACTTAAGAATATTATATGACAAACTAAGTAGTGAAAATGTGGACTCCAAAGCAGAGCCCTGATCCAGTATTGTAAATGCAAATACTATTTTTTTTTTTTCAACAAGTCGGCCATCTCCCACCGAGGCAGGGTGACCCAAAAAGAAAGAAAATCCCCAAAAAGAAAATACTTTCATCATCATTCAACACTTTCACCTCACTCACACATAATCACTGTTTTTGCAGAGGTGCTCAGAATACAACAGTTTAGAAGTATATACGTATAAAAATACACAATATATCCCTCCAAACTGCCAATATCCCAAACCCCTCCTTTAGAGTGCAGGCATTGTACTTCCCATTTCCAGGACTCAAGTCCGGTTAATAAAATAACCGGTTTCCCTGAATCCCTTCACTAAATATTATTCTGCTCACACTCCAACAGCTCGTCAGGTCCCAAATACTATTTGTCTCCATTCACTCCTATCTAACACGCTCACGCACGCCTGTATGATTATTATTACAGTATATTCATGGGGTAGTGTTAAACTCATTGAGGAATTGTAGCACCTGTGGTACAGGAGCAAATCACTGGCCTGGAGTTTTGTGACTGACTCACCACCTGTTCTGTGGTTTGGTCCCAGAAAAGGTAAAGTAACTCTGTTTCCTTGGATTAAGAGCTCTTCACTGCCTAGTTATGTCCATTATAAAAACATAACTTCAGTTGCAAATGTGTTTAAATTAATCAATATTGTGAACTTTTATTTCTTCTTCATAAGAATTCTTGAGCTCTTATTTTTTTGGGTAAATTCATCACTATACATCAGTGTAATTTCTTTTTACACCAGCTATTTATGTGGTCCTTTAACTTGGCCAATCTTGTGAAAGATTTTCCACATCCCTGGCACTTATACTGACTGTTTTCCTTCAAATATATCTCCCTTTCCCTAACATTATTGCTGTTTACTACATTTGCTACAGCACTTCCTTCATTTTCTCTTTTTATTTTTCTAGTCCATGAGTTAACCTTATAATTATCAGATGCACTTCTTGTTAGAGTAGGGTTTATGTTACTATTGTCTGTTGCTTGCAGTTCTTCAGTGAATATTTTCTCTGGGTGCAATTTATTAACATGTTCATTTAACTTTGATAAGTCTGAAAATTTTTCACCACAAAAAGAGCACTTGCAATATTCTATCTTACAAATGTTATGGTCTTCTTTCTCCCCTTCAGTTTTGAAAGGAAAATTTATAGGTTGATATTGAGACTGTTTTAACCAACATCTTTTTAATGAGCTTACTTGAATGTTTTACTCTATTATTCTTCCCAAAATCAACATTTTCACTATTGCAGTTCAAAACTAAGCCAGGTTCCTCATCAAAACTATTTTTGTGACTCATCTGTTTATGAAACCTAAGTGCTGAAGCTCTTCTAAAAACTATTCCACATGCAGTGCAGGTATTCCCATTACAGCTATTTTCTTTTGCCCTTTTGTCTTTCTTATCATATTTTTTACATGGTTCCTCACATTCACTAGAATTACAAACTTTACTTATGCCTTTAAATATTTCAACTTTCTCTTCAGTATTTCTTTTTATGACAGTTTCTAAGGAGTCATTTTTAAAATGAGTTTCTTTTTGTTTATAATGATCAATGCAGATTTCAATATATTCTTCACTCAATTCTTCTTCACATTTTACACTGGGTGTTAAAACCTTTGATGGTTTTCCATAAACAGAACATTTACATATATTCTTCTGCTCTTCATTTTCATGGATGTATTTTCCACACTTCACACAATGTTCTTTTTTCTTATCTTTGAAAATTTCAATATCATTCTCAAAGGTTTTAGATTCTACTAATACTGTATTTCCATTGTCAATACTTACTACAACAGGATCCTCATTCAAATTACCTATTTTTTCAAGAAGTATAAATTCTTTGTCAAGTAAATGTTTATTTTTTTGCTCTTTCATCACATGGGCCATTCCTTGGTGGTATTTTTTAATGTGATATTTTACTGCAGAGGATTGAGTGAAGGCTGCTGAACAACTGCTACATCTAAAAGGTTTTTCTCCAGTATGCATCTTCACATGATCTTTTAAGTGGGAAATTTGACGGAAAGCACTACCACAATCATTACACCTGTATGGTCTCTCATCTGTATGCATTCTCATATGAGTTTTAAGATTGGAACTTTGCTTGAAATTTTTCTTGCAAACTGTACACTGGTATTGTTTTAAAACAGCTGTGATACTGCTCTTAGTTTTTAGTGTATTCTCAGCACATCCTGAATCAACTTCTAATGAACATTTGTGCTTATACTGACCATTTTCTGAAACAGAGGCAGTCTTTATAATGCCTTCTTTATTGTCATCACTGCTTGGAGCATCATCTTCAACCTCATCTTTTATTCCAACCAATAAATGAGATACATCTTTATTAAGATCATCAATATCTATATTATGTGATGTTTGTTTATGCAAATTTAAAGCCTTGACGCTTTTAAGCTGTAAACCACACATTTCACATATACCCCCATTATCATCTACATGTAGCTTGCTGTGTTTCCTCAAGCTGTTTTTAGTTTTGAATATAGCATCACATTTGTTACATTTGTATCGTGTCTCATCTGCATGTGTCTGCATGTGCTGTTTTTTATAGCAAGAATCCAGAAATGTTTTATCACAAATCTTGCAATAAAAATTTCTAACAAAGCATTTCTTGGCAATTTTCATTTTCTTTACCTTTCCCTCAATATGCTGGGTTCTCTGGTGACATCTTAGTCGTGAAGATTGTTTAAATGCAGCATCGCACAGATTGCACCTGTATGGTTCCTCTCCTGTGTGTATCCTTACGTGAGCTTTTAAATGGGCTATCTGTTTAAACCCTATTCCACAATAATCACAATAATATGGTCTTTCTCCTGTATGAGTACGCATGTGTATAATATAATTGGAAGATGTCTTACAATCCTTGCCACACTGTTCACACTCATATGATCTGGGAATACGAATCTTTTTGTCCAATATTTTTTTCTCTTTTCGTTTAAATTTAATAGATTTATTTGTGTGTAAATCATGTATAATCATCTCTTCATCTTTTGAAATTTTTTGCCTTTTCTGTTTTTTAGTTTTATTATCCATTTCTTCAGCAGGAAATAGCTCTTTTTCAGGTTCAAATGTAACTTCTGTTACAGAATCTAGACCATTATCCCAAACAAGCAAGTCACAGTTGCTATGTCCTATTTCTTCAGTTTCCTGCAGCACTACAGTTTCTGATATAGGTGGTGACCTAGGTTTAGGAAGAGGAGGAAAGGTTATGAGAGTGTAATCTTTCTCTGCTAGAGCTTTTGGAAGTACAATCAAGTATCCTTGTCCATCCTCTCCCTGGGATTCCAACACAGTGCCTGTGGCTAAAGCATCCCGCACAATATCTGGATGAGGTATATTTGTCATCTGTTCAACCTCTGTCGTGGCATTTCCTGTAATAGTGGCTGATGGTTGAATGTTGCTGATAAAATCTGAATCCAGGTCTTGTGATTGCATATTTTGAATGGATGAAAATGTGTCAGATGAGAGCACTGTAGTGCTGTTTCTAAAGTTCTTTTCTTTAGTTGATATACTTTTACTTCTAGATTCTGACTTTTCAGAAACATTATTTTTCAAACATATATTTTCATTAAGTGTTTTATTAATATAATTGTCATTATCTTGTGCAGGTATTTTCTGAGATACATACCTGTAAGTGCCATTAGTGTTGTGCACTTTCTTGTGTAATGAAAGACTACTTAGACGTGAAAATACTTTTTCACACAATTCACAAGGATAAGGTCCACGAGAAAGATGGGTACCCATGTGAGCCCTTAATGTTGTCTCCTCACGAAATGATACTCCACATTCCTCACACTGAAATGGTCTTTCTCCAGTGTGTATTCTCAGGTGACGTTTAAGTCTAGGCTCAGTTATAAACTTGTCCCCACATTCAGAGCATTCATAAATTTTATCTTCATGTTTAAGCAAGTGGATTCGTAACTGCCCACCACTAGAAAATGCTACATAGCATATATGACACTTATGATTTTTTATCCCATTATGTACTTTCACATGCAACTTTAAGGCTGACATTGTCGTAAAGGTATCCTCACACAGTTCACACTCAAAAGGCCGTTCACCTGTATGTGTACGCTGATGCTCTGTCAAATGATGAGACTGACGGAAAGTCATGCTACAGTATGGACAACTGTGAGGTTTCTCTCCAGTGTGAGTCATCACATGACTTCTGAGAGTGGAAGTTGTCTGCAAAGAGATGCCACAAAATTTGCACTTATATTTAGCTATTTTTTTACTATTTGTTTTAATTCTAATTTGCTCTGTCTTACTCCTTCTTGTATTATGAAGTATTATGTCTGTGTTTTTACCTTCTAATACTGACAGTTCTTTGTCAAGTTCAGTTAATGCACATTTATCAGTATCAGCCTCTACATTTTTTGAGGCTTCATTATCTTTAACCTTGATCATAATACTTTCTGTAAGCTTACTCTTAACCAAGTCTCCGTTTTCCTTTTGCTTTAATTCAATTGCAGTTGAAGCTGTGACTGTCATATTTGTAGTTGTAATATGAAGAATATCTTTCACTGGTGAAACTTCCTCTGTATTTGGTACCAACACTTGCACAGTTTTGGAATCTTTACCAGCTTTCATTTTTTTGTTATCAATGTTAGCAGTAATTTTAGCTTTATTTATTATCAAATCTTAAGTTGATAGATGATAAACCAGCAGCAAATCCTCTTTCCTATAACTGTATTATTTTTCTATAACATTATTTTCACCTTCATTTTGTAACAGAAAGACAGAAGCAGCTTATGTACAAATAATAAATGAATGAATTACAGAAATGAAAACCCTTATCATTCTCGTAGCAATTCACTTCCACAT